GGTCTGAAGTATCTTTGTGGGAAGGGGAAACAATTTTGTATAAATGGTGGGTCTGGCCCCCAAGGGGCCTGAGGGGCGGGGCCAATAGGTTAAATATAGCAACTCTTTTAAAATCCTTCTTCTGTAGGAATCAAAGGAAATGTTTCATATCAGGTGTAGATAATCCTTGGGTGGTTAACCAATTTTGTATAAACGGTGGGTCTGGCCCCCAGGAACCCGAGGGGGGGGGGGGGGCGAATAGGTTAAATATAGCAATTCTTTTCAAATCCTTCTTCTTCTGTAGTAATAAGGAAATGTTTCATATTAGGTGTAGAACATCTTTAGGTGAATGGAATTTTGTATAAATGGTGAGTCTGTCCCCCCTCCCTCCCCATCCCCAGGGGCTCGAGGGGCGAGGCCCAATAGGTCAAGTACAGCAAAGTCTTTCAAAATCCTTCTTCTTCTTTAGGAATGAAAGGAAATATTTCATATCAGGTGTAGAACATCTTTAGGTGAAGGGGAACCAGTTTTGTATAAACGGTGGGTCTGGCCCCCCAGGGGCCCGAGTAGGGGATGGCCGAATAGGTTAAATATAGCAATTCTTTTCAAATCCTTCTTCTTCTGTAGTAATGAAAGGAAATGTTTCATATTAGGTATTAGGTGTAGAACATTTTAGGTGAAGGGAAACCAATTTTGTATAAGCGGTGGGTCTGGCCCCTCAGGGGCCTGAGGGACGGGGCCCAATGGGTTATGTATAGCAAATCATTCAAAATCCTTCTTCTTCTGTAGGAATCAAAGGAAATATTTCATAATAGGTGTAGAGCATCCTTAGATGATTGGGGAACCAATTTTGTATAAATGATTGGTCTGGCCCCCCAGGGGCCCGAGGGGCGGGGCCCAATGGGTTATGTATAGCAAATCCTTCAAAATCCTTCTCCTTCTGTAGTAATGAAATTAATTGTTTCATATTAGGTGTAGAGCATCCTTGGGTGAAGGGGAACCAGTTTTGTATAAATGGTGGGTCTGGCCCCCAAGGGGCCTGAGGGGCGGGACCAATAGGTTAAATATAGCAACTCTTTTCAAATCCTTCTTCTTCTGTAGTAATGAAAGGAAATGTTTCATATTAGGTATAGAACATCTTTAGGTGAATGGAAACCAATTTTGTATAAATGGTGAGTCTGCCCCCCTCCCTCTCCACCCCCAGGGGCTCGAGGGACGGGGCCCAATAGGTCAAGTACAGCAATGTCTTTCAAAATCCTTCTTCTTCTTTAGGAATGAAAGGAAATATTTCATATCAGGTGTGGAGCATCCTTGGGTGATTGGGGAACCAATTCTATATAAACGGTTGGTCTGGCCCCCCAAGGGCCTGAGGGACGGAACCAATAGGTTAAATATAGCAACTTTTTTAAAATCCTTTTTCTTCTGTAGGAATCAAAGGAAATGTTTCATAATAGGTGTAGAACATTTTTAGGTGAAGGGGAACCAATTTTGTATAAACGGTGGGTCTGGCCCCTCAGGGGCCTGAGGGACGGGGCCCAATGGGTTATGTATAGCAAATTCTTCAAAATCCTTCTCCTTCTGTAGTAATGAAATTAATTGTTTCATATCAGGTGTAGAGCATCCTTGGGTGAAGGGGAACCAGTTTTGTATAAATGGTGGGTCTGGCCCCCAAGGGGCCTGAGGGGCGGGACCAATAGGTTAAATATAGCAACTCTTTTCAAATCCTTCTTCTTCTGTAGTAATGAAAGGAAATGTTTCATACTAGGTATAGAACATCTTTAGCTTTCTTGGGCCTAGTGAGCTAAGAAACAATCAGTGAACAGTCAGAGCTGTAATGTTGATTATTCCTTTTTTATGAGTAATCTAACATTGGACAAAGATATTTGCATCCCCTCTATATATATGATAAATCTCCCCTAGATACTTTTCTGGAGGCCATCATATATATATATATATCCCCTCCATATAGATGAGTAATCTCCTCCTAGATATTTTTTCTAAAGGCCATTATATATGTATCCCTCCGATATATATGATCATCCCCCCTAATACTTTTCTGGTGGCTATCAAATATGTATCCCCCTACACAGGCACTCAAGGATTTGTCAACCGGCACATAAACTTGAATTCTGCTGATATTTCGTTTAAATAACGTCAGTCATGAGTGCTAAAACAAAAATCAATGTTTAAAAAATAATATCCTGGCCTCGAGTGCCTGTGCCTCCGAGTACTCAACTGAACTGATGGCTATCATATATGTATCCCCCGAATATATATGATGAACCTCTCCCAGATACTTTTCTGATGTCCATCCTATATGTATACCCCCAATATATATGATGAACCTCCCCCAGATACTTTTGTGATGTCAATCCTATATGTATACACTCAATACATATGATGAACCTCCCCAGATACTTTCCTGATGTCAATCATATATGTATCCCCCCAATATATATGATGAACCTCCCCCGGATACTTTTCTGATGTCAATCCTATATGTATCCCCCCAATATATATAATGAACCTCCCCCGGATACTTTTCTGATGGCTGTCATATATGTATCCCCCACAATATATATGATGAACCTCCCCCGGATACTTTTCTGATGGCTGTCATATATGTATCCCCCCCCCCAATATATATGATGAACCTCCCCCCAGATACTTTTCTGATGTCATTCCTATATGTATCCCCCAATATATATAATGAACCTCCCCCAGATACTTTTCTGATGTCAGCCATATAAGTACAGTGTATATTCCCCAGTAATTTGATAGGCAGATGATGTTTTTTGACAGTAGTTACATGTACAGATATACTCGTGTTTCCTACTTCAGGGGACACGAAATCATATATATACATCACTTAGGGAGACCCGCGATTTGGGGCGACTGTTTTGCTGTCGCCCTAATGTTTACCATTCTTTTTAATGGTTAAAACGTTGTTGTACAAATTATTGCATTTAGGCTTTTATTCCTCTGCGTTTCATCTCTGTAAACATGAAAAAGGAAAAGAAAAATCTTTGATAATAAAAATGTTATAGCATGTTGAATTTCAAACTCTATATATCGATGATTTGAAATAGTATTACTTAGGGGGACAGACGTTTGAACACGTTTTTTCTCTATTAATCAAATGTATATAAAGAAAAGATGATGCTTTTATCGACAAAATATGCTGTAGAATCGATTATCAAAATCTGAAGAAAACAACATCTCTAGATCATCTGCATTTGACTTACTACAAAAATTTGTCCCTATATTTGCCGACTTGGCGTGGTATCCGATTTCAAGCTAACTTATGATTGGTTGAAATATAATTTTCTTCACTTCCTGCATTCGGATTTAATTATTGTTACGTTGCTGGAAATGGATGAAAATAGAGACCATACAAGTATGATAAGTCATTTCGACTATGTTTAATTTTCATATATCAGTATGTAAATATACTGAGGCGAAAGGGCTTGTTAACGTAATACTACTTTCCGTTAATGAATGTCTGTATGTGTGACCTAGTAAACAAGTGTGCTGTCATGACTACAGATATAGCTGCACACATTCCATAGGGTTATTTAAACGTACTTGATACACATAGTGTAATGGTGCATTATGTGTATTATTGTTCTTTAGGTATGTACGAGCTGTTACATTAAAACGAAACAGTAAAGGGATCTTACAAATATTCGTATATTTACTGTAACTATCGGAACAAAACATACCGCACAATCAGTTTTCACACATCAATAGTTCATGAATGCGACAGCAAGTGATCAATGTTTTATGAGACAAAAGGAAATTTTTCAATTGACCGTTTTGTGTGTTATTTTTTAAAGAGTTTCTCTCGTGGCCTATCCGTAGTTAACTTGGACACGGTTTACAAATAATTTGATGATCCTGAATCAAAATGTCTCAGTGAATGCTTCAGAAAAGTATCATAATGCTGTTTAAAATTCAAGTTTAAATCAAAGAAGTAATTGATCCATTATTTCAAGCGAACAGCCCATGATTGCTAGATCAGCAATATTTTGTTTGGTCAATCCTACTTTCACTAGTCAACTCTATTCCACTGGTCAATCTTACTCCACTAGTCAATTCAATTCCAATAGTCTATCCTACTCCACCAGTCAATCGTTCTCTACCAATCAATCCTACTCCATTAGTGTATCCGACTCTTCTATTCAATCCGACTCCACTAGTCAATACTATTCCAATAGTTAATACTAATGCCCTAATTAATCATACCCAAGAAGTCAATCATACTGCAATAGTCAATCCGACTCCACTAATCAATACTATTCCACTAGTCAATCCTACACCACATGTCAATGCTATTACACTTATCAATCCTACTCCAATAGTCAATTCTCATCCACAAGTCTATCTTAATCCACCAGTCAATCCTACTCCAATAGTCAATCAGACTCTTATAGGCAATCCGACTCCACTAGTCAATACTATTGTAATAGTCAATCCTACTCCGCTAGCCAATCCAACTTTAAGAGTCAATCCTACTACACTCGTTTTTCATAACCAACGAGTCAATCCTAACCCATACTGCCATAGTCAATCTTACTCCAATAGTCTACCCTACCCCACAAGTGAATCATACTCAACTAGCCAATTCTATCCCTCTAGCCACCCTACTCCACTAGTCACTCCTAACACACTGGTCAATCATACTCCATTAGTCAACCAGACTCCAATAGTCTATCCGATTCTTCTATTCAATCCGACTCCACTAGTCAATACTATTCCAATAGTCAATCCTTCTTTGATAGTCAATTCGACTACTATAGTCAATCCGACTCCACAAGACAATCTTATTCCAATTGTAAAACCTAATGTCATAATCAGTCCTAACCAAAAAGTCAATCATACTGCAATCCAAATACAATAGTCAATCCGATTACTTTAGTCAATCCACAACACTAGTCAATCCTACTCAAATAGTCAATCCTACTCCACTATTCAATGCTATTACACTTATCAATCATACTCCAATAGTCAATCCCACTATTATGGTCAATCCTTCCCTAGTAGTCAATCCCATACCACTAGTCAATCCTACTCCAATAGTCAGTCTTAATCCACTAGTCAACCCAACTCCACTAGTCAATCCGACACTAACAGTCAATCCTTATCCACTAGTCAACCCTGCTCTATTAGTCAATCCTAATTCAGTATTCCATCCTACTCCAATTTTGAATCCTACCACACAAGTCAATCCTACTCCACTACTCAATCCTACCCCTCAAGTCAATTATTATCCACAAGTCGATCTGACCACAATAGTCAACCTTATCCCACTGATTAATTCTACTCCACTAGTCAATCCTCCTACACCAGTCAATCCAACCAAACAAGTCAATCCTACCCAACAAATTAATATTACCCCACCAGTCAATCCTACCCAAAAAGTCAATTCGACTGCAATAGATAATCCTAATCCAATAGTCAATCATATTCTAATAGTCAATCATACTCCACTTGTAAATCCTACTTCACTAGTCAATCTTACTCCAGTAGTCAGTCCTACCCCACAAGTCAATCCTATTGCACTAGTCAATCCTACTCTAATAGCCAATCAGACTCCACAAGTCAATTTTAATCCACTGGTCAATCCTACTCCACTAGATAATACTACTCCAGTAGTAAATCCAACCACACAAGTCAATCCTACTCCACTAGTCAATCCTTCCCAATAGTCAATCCTATACCACTAGTCAATCTTACTCCAATAGTCAATCCTACCTCACAAGTCAATCTTCATCCATTAATCAATCCGACTCTACTAGTCAATCTGAGTTTTATAGTCAATCTTTATCAACTAGTCAATCCTGCATTAATAGTAAATCCTAATACTGTGTTCCATCCTATTCCAATTGTTAATCCTACCCCACATGTCTATCCCAATTCACTAGTTAATCCGACACTAAAAGACAATCCTACTCCAATAGTCAATCCTGCTCCACCAGTCAATCCTACTACACTAGTCAATCCTACTCCAATAGTCAATCTTTATCCACTTGTCAATACTGCTCTAAAAGTCAATCCTACCCATCAAGTCAATCCTACTCCTATTCTCCACCAGTCAATCCTACCCCACAAGTCAATCCCAATCCACTAGTCTAATCCACACTAATAATAATCCAGTGTTCCATCCTATTCCAATTGTTAATCCTACCCCACATGTCTATCCCAATCCACTAGTCAATCCGACACTAATAGACAATCCCACTCCAATAGTCAATCCTACTCCACTACTAATCCTAATCCTACTACTAGTCAATCCCTCACTCAATCCTACTAGTCAATCCTATCCAGTACTAGTCAATGTCTTCTTCAATAGTCAATCCTAATCCAGTGTTCCATCCTATTCCAATTGTTAATCCTACCCCACAAGTCAATCCCAATCCACTAGTCTATCCGACACTAATAGACAATCCTACTCCACTAGTCAATGCTTCTTCACTAGTCGATCCGACTCCACTAGTCAACCCTATCTCATTGGTCAATCCTACTCCACTTGTCAATCCTAATATACTAGTCAATTACACCCACTAGTCAATCCTACTCCAATGGTCATTCCTTCTCTAATAGCCAATCCTACCCCACTAGTCCATCATAATCCACTAGTCAATCCTACTGAAATAGTTAATCCTACACCACTAGTCAATGCTATTACACTTATTAATCCTACTCCAATAGTCAATCCTCATCCACAAGTCAATCGTACTACACCAGTCAATCCTTATCCACTAGTCAATCCGATTCCACTAGTCAATCCTGATTTAATAGTCAATCCTAATCCAGTATTCAATCCTAACCCATGAGTCAATCTTAAACCATAAGTCAATCCTACTCTAATAGTCAATCCTGCTCCAATAGTCAATCCTACCCCTCAAGTCAATCTTAATCCACGAGTCAATCCTTATCCACTAGTCAATCCTACTCCACTAGTCAATCCTTCCCTATTAGTCAATCCTACCCCTCAAATCAATCTTAATCCACTAGTCAACCCTATCCCACTGGTCAATCGTATTACACTACTCAATCCGACTGTTATAGTCAATCCGATTCCATTACTCATCGCTATCCCACTGGTCAATCGTACTCCACAAGTCAATCCTAATCCAATAGTCAATCATCATACACAAGTCAATCCGATTCCAATAGTCAATCCTTATCCACTAGTCATCCAACTCCAATGTTTTTATCTTATTTTTTTTTCTTTCGCAGACACAGTAGTTTACTTTAAAAAAAGACAACCTTCCCTAGATCTTGACAGTACACAAAATTTACATTTAGAAATATCTATTAATCCTCTTTGTTGCAAGATAAGAACTAATTCACCTTGTCCTTCTATTTTTTTCATTTAATTTACCATCTCTCTTCCCCTCTCTCATTGCAACACTAAAATGTGCATGTGCGTGTATATGAATGACTGATGATAATGACATACATGATGATGATGATGATGATGGTGGTGTTATATGTGTGCTTTGTCTTGTAATTTTTGTGTGTTATTCAAAATTTTTAAAAATAGAAGAAATGCAAAAAATGGTGTTTACAAAGTCTAATTGTAAAAATGAAAAGGGCCATACTTCTCTAATTACAATCTAATAAATCCCCATATCCTGCTTATACAAGATCGTATTGATATAAGGATGCATACCAAGTTTAATCATACTCAGTTCATATTTACTCAAGATATGAACAACGATCCCTGTACGTGCAGGGTTCACCAGCTTTTGTAATTCTTGCGCCAAAATTTTCACCAAACTGAAATTTCTTGTGCCAAATGGTATTTTTTCATAGCCAAATATTTTCGAATCTTATTTAAGATCTCACAATCATTCTTTTTGTCATGTTACTGTCATTTTGGTATTGTTTCGTCTGTTGTTAAATGTCCCACCATTTAGCATAATGCAACGCTAGCATTATTCATTAAACACAAAGCATATGTTTTTGCAACAGACGACACATGTTATATGTATGTGAAATGCAGGAATAAATTATAATTGACCTCTGACCAGATCTTGATCATGATATTGCTTATACAAGGCTTTAAATTAAAACTTAAAATAGTACTACCAAGGGAAAATTATTAGAGGTGTAACGATACGGGTACCTCACGATACAATACGTATCGCAATACAGGGGCCACGATACAATACGTATCGCTATACAGTGTTTCAACTTAGAATGCAATAAACAAAGTAATGATACCTGAATTAAAACAAAATATAAACAATGTTAACCTTTCAAACTTTATCAAACTACAACAATTAACACATATTGGTTCAAATTAAAATTGTAAGTTCTTTTTTAAAAAGATCAATATGTCCACATTTTCAGGTGAAAGGGCAGCACGCTGCGCAGACACTATGTCTCCTGCAGTTGAGAAGACACGTTCACTGGGTACAGAGGTACCCTGAATTGCCAGATATGATCTGGCAAGTCTGGAGAGAACAGGATAATTATCCTGATTCTCTCTCCACCATGCCAGTGGGTTGTCCTTAAGTTGGATTCCTTGTGAGGCTCTGTATTTATGGATCTCATTCTCAGCCCTGGTTCTAATTGGCTTCCCATGTTCAACATTTACAACCATTATATCCCCAAACAGATCTTCCATGGCAGACTTCAGCTTTTTCCTTTTAGGACTAGATTCAACTGATTCATCTGAATCAGGAGAACCTGAAAAAGAATTGAAAAGCTATAAACATACATGTAAAAAATTAAAATAAACAATTAACATTTAAGCAATTTATAGGTATTTACATGTAAAGTTATAAACTTTAAATGTGTATTATTATATTAGTGTTATAGACTTACAGTGTTTTGCAGGGGTAATACTGAACTATTTTGGGTCAATGAAAAAGTTTTATTTGGTAAGGTCACTAAGATGAGTGTGCAAATGAACAATAAAATTATGACCAAATTTATTAAATTTTATTTTAACCTTTTGTATTGCTAATCCTGTCAGCTTTCATGGCATCATCTGATGTGGATGGACTCTGGTCTGGCTCCATTTTCACTCGAACCTAACAAATTAATTAGAATACAATATTAGTTCAACAAATTCTAAACACTCAGAAAATGCCAGACATGGGATTACTGATAACCTTAATTGTGTTTTTAATAAAAGAAATATTTATTTTATATATTACTTAACTCGATATAGTATGGATAGATTAATTAGATATTGATTATTCAATAATTATGAGCAAACATTATGTCAGATTTAAACTAAACTTCATGTGAATTTATGGTAAATAATTAAAAATACAGTGAAACTGAAATCATGAAATGACAGAAATGTATGAAATTAAGAATTTCACAATGGAATTGTAATTGTTTAAACAATTTTAAAAAGTTGCTTCTATTTATTAATCATTTAAATTCATTACCTTTTTAGTGTTTATAAAAACATTTCCTTGAAAATGATGAATTCTATATTGACAATTTGACACATACATTGTACATGTTGTATATTATTATTATATTTATAAATCAATAATCAGTAACGTACATGTAACTCCAAATATGTTCAACCTACCTTTAAGATGAGTTATGTCTATGTTTTGGATGTTTGGGGTTTTTTTTTTTGTCCAACGATAAATAGTCACTGTATGACTATTAAACATCAGAATAAGCAGAAAACTGAAAAAATTAACACAACACAACCAAGAGGATATAAACAGATCAATAAAGGATGATAAAGGAGAAAGGGCAAAGAATTTTATTTGCTTTATGTCTTTGTCAAAGACATAAAGCAAATAAAATTTTAAGAATCAAAGTGACAAAATGAAACTTGAACCTTAACAATGTTAAATAAAACGTTTTGATATAATGTTAACAGTAGGTCATAATAAATTAATGTCTCAAAGGCAGATTAGAGGTTATTAAAATATTCCCGTGAATAGAATGTTTGCTATAATCATTGTATCTGTATGTATCATTATGAAAATACTTTTTAATTACCTAATACTTAATACATGTATACAAAACTTACAAGCAGAGTTACAAGTATAAAATTATAAACAATAGTTTAGACTTTTGACAAACCTCTAAAATACCATAAAGAACTATTTTAAGTTTAATTTGCTAAATTCAACAGATATTCAACTATTAAATCATGCAAAAATACCTCTTCTTCTGATTCTGTCATCATGTCTACAAGATTGCCATAGACTCGATTGGCTTCGACCTGGTCGTGATAGGGCAGGGTCTTGAATCTGGGATCCAGGGCACAGCACATCTCAAGCCATCTGATGATGTCTGGATCAGAATATCTTGACTCGATGTCATTACGTATTTCTGTTTTTACCTGGGCAGCAAGACCTGAATCAGACTCATTTTCTCTCAGTTGCCTTAGCAGTCGTTCCTTCATCAGGTGAACTAGAGATATAGTGGGTGATTTTTCCTCACACATGATGGTGGTTATGGTTTTCAAGGGCTTCAACACATCTACCAACTCCTCAGCTAGAGAAATGTCCGTGTCAGATAGGGTTACAACTTCTTTAAGGTTCTTTTTAATGTCTTTCTCCGTTAATGTTGCATATACAGCTGGCTGCTGTTCCAGAAAAGTACTCATCATATCAAAACTGGAATTCCATCTGGTCTTCACATCTTGGACAAGTCTTTTTGCTGGAAGGTTCAATGCTTTCTGTTTATCTTTAAGTTTCTTTGTAGCTGTGGAACTTGAGTGGAAAAATGTGACTATTCGTCTCATTCTACCCAAAAGTCGAGAAACAGAGCTTATCTGCATAGCTTTATGGGCTGCCAAATTTAAGCAGTGAGCGAAACATCTAATGTGTGGTTCAAAACCAGCTAGATTTACACCTTTAACAATATTTGAAGCATTGTCTGTGGCAACAGCAATCCTTTTGTCTGAAAGAACTTCTCCAACTTTTACTGTCCTTTTTAATTTCCACTCCTTCACAGTTTCCTGTAACACATCTGCCAAGTTTTCAGCTGTATGAGACTCAAATAACGGCCTTGTCTGCAGCACATAACATTTCAAATTCCAGTCATTATCAATAAAATGAGCTGTTACAGTGTTGTAACTCTGTGTGGCCTTAGATGTCCATCCATCTGTGGTCAAAGCGATAAAGTCAGCCTGACTAAGTTCATTCTTTACTCTATTGACACTTTCACTATATATTTCAGGAATGATTTTTTCGCTGAAATGGGCTCTCGATGGGATGGAATATTTTGGTTCTAGTGTATTTATCATGTGCTTAAATCCCGAAGTTTCAACAACGCTAAAAGGTCTCATGTCTACTGCAATGAATTGTCCGATGGACTTTGTTATCGCCACGGCCCTTGGTGAAGAAAATGTCATTCTTTTGTGTAATACATCTTGAAGGCGTAGTTGACCAGTAGTACAGCTAGTGTTACTCGATTCCTGTGTTGTTGTTTTCTCTTTCTTTCGTGATAACTCATGAGAAAGACTTTCGTAGATATCCTTGTAATGGCGTTTCAAGTGCGTCGCCATATTTGTTGTGTTCCCACATTTATAAGATACATTCATATCGCAGTGGCGACAAGTTGTAAACACTGTTACTACCTTACCATCTTTATCTTCCTGTCTAAATCCAAAATGCTTCCATATTTTGGATTTGAAAGTCGCCGGTGGAGATTTGAGATCGGTCGCCATTGTGTTAACAACTTTACAGTCAGTAAGAGTAACCTCCCTTGATCGGCGTATCAAAAAATAAAAACCCGTACCGTACGCCGTATCGTACGGATATGCCCCGTATCATGAACCGAACCGTGACTTTTTTTGCAGTCCTAAAAATTATACCAATATTGATCTACTAGTTATATAGGTCGATATGATGACTCCAAAACGGATATATTTTTTTTCAGCGTTTGTCTAACCTTTTCTGATTGCACTTCTGATGCGCAAAAAAAAACCCCTCTTTTTTAACACACTAGCAGACTGCATAGTCGTGTATCATTTAACGAATGGTGTTTGTCACAACAACCACCCCCCCCCCCCCCCCACACACACACACATACACACACCAACACCCTTCTCCTTTCCCCCTCCCTTCTTCATCATCTGGGCACTGTGACCAAGGTCACCTGTGTACCGGATATGCATATTTTAGCTCACGTGTTGTTTGAATTCCCGCTATAGAGGTAATGGTAAGAGTGAGCTAATATTGGTTTATTGGGAGAGTGGTATGACCATGTGTTACTCTCTGATTATGACGTCTCGAAACATTGACGACACAAGGTTAAAAGGTAAGGTAACATTCTTGGTTTCATTTTATATAAATGTACTCTTCATTTATATTGGAGGATTTCATTTTACATGTTTTACGTATGTGTGATTTGAATGTCGTCCATCTTAATATACTAAAAGCAGTTTCGTCAATGATGTCCGACGTATTTCTTGCTTTATTGTACAAAGTTACTTTCTGTTGTGCATTCTTTCAAAGAAGACGATTATCTATAATATAATATTATCGATCAAATATGTTGACGAATTTAACTGTATCCATGATGAGAGCAATGTTGTGCATAGTAGATGTTGTCATTAACTGTGTTCACCTGATGTAAGTGCTTGGGTATTGCAATTTTTTTTCTTTCCTTTTGATTCCATAGATTTTATTTACACACACATTTGAAGTACGATTTACAAATACATGCCAATGTCCATTAAAACAATAATGAGATTAAGTGCGGAAATCTTAATTATCGATTACATAAGCTTAAGTATCTCATCTGAAAGTACGTGTATGTTGTATTTAATACGAGATATGAGTAAGTTTTCTTTGATAATTTGTTTGCAGTCCTTAATTTCCGAATACTTTTGTAATATTTTCCGCCATTTGAACATGCATATATTACTTTGATGTAACATGTACATTATTTGTTAATCGTTCCTGAAAACCTGTTCCCGATAAGTTACTAAATTACACCAATACACAATCATTTTGCAATAATATAAATTTCAACAGGATATGTACCGGATTCTCCGTAAACCATATAATTAGATGTGCTCCTTTTGAGACTAAGCAGCCTCTTACAAAACTGTAAATGAATCATTTCTTAAAAAATGATTTTTCAAACCCCAAACATCTGCATCGTATGTCAAAATTGGCAGCACAGTTGGAATCAAACTGTTTCAATTGAAGATCAATCGGTAAAGACCATAATTTTTGTTTTTTGTGTAGAAACGCTACGTCATTGCGATATTAAATCTGCATTTAATCTTTCTAATTTGTGAACGAAACGAAAATATTCAATGAACCGATATTTTTGGCCCTTCCAGGGATTCAACAGGGTCAAAACATGCATTATGTTAAAAATAAAATCAACTTATCAAAAACATGATTTTCCTAGTTAGTATATCAAACCTTCTTACTCTCTATGATGGTAATGTGAGGCCTCGGGACGATGATATTCACCATTTTGGTAGATGAAGACCTTTTCATCAATGAAAAGTATTTGATTCTACCGCTCTTGGAAACTTTTTGGAGAATTTTTTTTTTCAGATTAAGTAAATTTGACCACTTGTTGTTGTTAGGCCCCGAGGGGTCAGTCAGGCTAAAACTGAGTACATATGACACAAATTGCACAAATCGTTATATGTAGAAGAACCCTTTTCCTGTAGTAGCTATAGTAAGCTTAACCCCCCCACCCCACTTCCATCCCCCGTCCTCAGGGGATATTGTGAGACCTCGGGACCCAGATTTTTGAACATTTGTTGTCAGTGATTTAAGCCCCACTCCTAAAGCCCCTGTTGATCAGGGAAGATATAATTTACAACTTTAGTTCGCCTCATGCAAAATATTGAATTTGCTTCAAGGGTTTTAGAGAAATCAAAAATGTGAAATGTTTACAGTGGACGAGACATGACGGACGACGCTGGACAAAAGGCGAATTTAGGTCACATGAGACGAAGTCTTATGGTTACCTATAAAGTAAATAAATTAATGTTCAGTGTATTTATAACTTATTGTAAAATTTAGTTATAAATTACATTATTTTATGTGATATTTTTAATATATTTGCTGCTCTAATGATGAGTACGTGTATACAAACTAAAATTGATAAGTAATAAGGTGACATATATGAAACAAAAACAGCGACATACCGTGAAATATTAATATTGGATATGAAGTGAAATAACAGCACTGGTTTAAAAGTTCTAACATGATTTTTTATGAACAATTTCGGAACTTACTAGGGGATACAGTTTTGGGATAATTATTGGGTTTTGTAGCTAGACAGATAACCGAATTCATGAAAGTTCTTGATTTAATGTTAGCGGCCAATAGTTAAGGGCATAAAAAGGGAAAAATATACCAAAACTAATTATAACAAAGGAGACATAGATAACGCATATTTTTTTCTGGATCTGCTTCTGACAAAATGGAATGATATTTACTATACGATGATTTAGAAAGTGGATTTGGAGATTTATTAAACCGTTGTTGAAAACATTATGCAATAATATTTACTGGTGTGTATCAAATAATAACGGTAATAACGTATGGAGAAATGTATGTTTATATACATATATATATGTGTATAAATATATGTGCAAATAATGCGCATGCAAAACTAATTGAGTGTGTTCACCGTGTTCTGGACTGATTATTAACACTAAATAATCTAGCTTATGTTACTGTTAGAGTAATATTACATATTGCAAGTCAACGGTTAATTATCATGTTTTATCTTGTCAGTTGCATACAGGCTTGGTTCTCCGATAACATTTTAAAATGTATTTCTAATGTACACTGGAATGAAATTGACATTGGAGTAAATATGTATTTCTAATCTCTGTATTTAATATTGATGGATGGATGTATCCTAAAGTTATGTACTAATATTATCTCTTATTGAGCACAGGTAAATCACAGGTAACTATTTTACGCCTTTCTCCTGTTATATTAAAAGTGGGCTCCCAATGGGGAACACAACAAATTATCAATTCACCTCTAACACTATGCAAGTATATATGTTTATGAAATGTGTTTTGATTTGAAACTCACAAATCGATACTTCGGGTCCCAACATGGAGAAATAAAACTAAATGAAGATTGTTCCGTGGCGGTAATATCATGATACCTTTAGCGTTTTCATTATGCTACATCTTTAGCAAGAAATCAAGTCACTCAAGTGTGTTCCTAACTAACAGTTTATTTGATATTAAATGTATTTTTTCTTGTTATATCGTGTAAACCGAATAAGTTGATGATTCATAGGCTAGTGTGTTTTTTTTTATTCTGATAAGGCTATTATGGCATCTTTTCAAGATTCGTTTTTTTGATGAATGTTTTTCATATGCACAGTTGTTCATTTTTTTCTCGCCCTAACAAACGGAAATTTTGATATTAGTTTCAATTTCCTTTTTGCATCATCATCATCATCATCATCATCATCATCATCATCATCATCATCATCATCATCATCATCCATGTATAATTTTTAATATACATGCATCTGCACATTCTCACACAAGAAAACAAAACCAGACATACAATTTTTACATGATCAACACACACACACACCCTCTCTCACACACCCTCACACACACACACACACACACACACACACACACACACACACACACACACACACACACACACACACACACACACACACACACACACACACACACACACACACACACACACACACACACACACACACACACACACACACTGAGAGAAAGGAAGAGATTGAGAAAAGAGAGAAGATGAGAGAGAGAGAGAGAGAGAGAGAGAGGGAGGGGTGAGGGGGAGGGAAAGAGAGAGAGAGAGAGAGAGAGAGAGGGGGGGGGTGGGAGGGGGAGGGAAAGAGAGAGAGAAAGAGAGAGGCTACAGTCATGGAATTATCAGTTAAATTCAGGTTTAAACATCTAAAAGATTCACTACTATTATTTGGTGAAAACCTGTCAGGGTTGGAGGGAGTTATAAGTAATAAGACAAACATGTGTATTAGAAAATTTTTATATTTAAAGACAAAATAATTGTTTCCATTTTCTCCACTCTAAACTAATTTCCTTTTGCTGTTGCAATATATTTTTTAACATTTTAATGATCTTTAATTGAATTAATAAGCATATTAATGTTAAGAAAACCGTTTAAACATCAGGTTTTATAAATATAATATTTAATAATGATATTGACCTCATTGTCAATTTTGTTGCTCCTACTTTTGAGTGCCCAGTATCCAAATAGAAAAGATTCTTTGTTGATAGTAAAAGGTATAAGGAGGTCTTCAAGTAGTGTTTCTAAATGTTTGCACGTTTTCACATTCCCAAAGGATATGGGTTATAGTTTCTGTTTCAGATTTACAGAAAGTACATATTGGACTAGTGACTATTTTATCGAATTTGTTGCTAAAATAGTATGTAAAAGTTTATACTGAAACCACTGAAGTTTTGAATTATTAGTAATTTTGAAAGGTAAAGAGAAAATATTTGCCCATGTTGATTCCTCGAAATCAAATTGCTCGGACCATATTTCTTACCAGTAGGAATTTAATTGTTTTTGGATAGAGCAGTATATACGTTTTTAGTGCCTTTACATCTGTTGAGAAATAATTCTATGTTAGGAGGAAGGTAAGGTTAAGTCAAATGAGTGCCATTTATCTTCTGTAGATTATATTTTTTTCGTATACAGTTAACAAGCC